AGAAATATGACGAGCATAATTATCATTGCGTCGAATCTATATAATTTGATTTCGAAGAATGTATAATTACAATATTCTATACGTTTGAAGTTGGTACCCTAAATTGATTAATTTTTCAACGCTTCGAATCTAGATCCTAATTTTAAACAAGTCTTTTATTTCCACTCGAGTACTCGTAATTAGTTTTAATTAATTTAAACGCGAGCTCAAACTTTTCGTTCGATACTAAGAATCGGGTGCCCGAATGGCGAAATAAACGAGCCGAAGCTAGTCCCGGATTATACTAATGCCTTTTTAGATGCACGCTCTCTACTTGGCTTCTGGGCCTGTGATTTACGCTGTAAATGCACGTACGAGCGAGTAGACATGGGTTTCGTGCAACACGACAACTGCACGAAATGCCTATCAACAGTTTAATGGACGAAGTATCGGGAGCTTAAATGTACCGGATACGCTTCCAGCAGTTTCGTTTTCCACTCTTTCTTAATTTTCAGTCTCTTGATCGATACCTTTCAGTCCCGCCGGTTTAACTGCAACACTATTATTTCCGAAATGTCCGCAATTCCGGGCATTTATTATAGTCTACTTCGCTACGAATGAACTATAATTATCTGGAGCTGATTTATTGGGGTCACTGGTCTTCGCTGTACTTCAACGTGTTTGTATGTTAACTTCTGCGATCTGCTTTAACCCTTAAATGCATGATTTTTTGTTTTGAATTTTAAAAAATCGTTTTTTATAGGAATGTAGTCATAGGTTATGTAAAAAATAAATAAAAAAATCTAGGTACTAATATTGAGTATTTATTTTGAAAAAACGTTGTATGTGAACTTTTGGCAACAATATGCGTTTATTACTAAAATTATTGTAGACGTAAACAAATGGTCATGTATTTATATTATCTATTAGTATAGGAATTTTCACATTATTTATAAATGAAATGCAGCAAAGCAATTGCGATTTTTGTTGTGACACAAAGCAACCTTGCATTTGATGCACTCAGTCTGTGAAAATCCTTTGCAACCTGGAAGTTATCACCCACCACATTCAAATTTCAAAAAACATATAACTTACTCGCCAAAAGTAATGTCAAGTCTTTTCTTTCACACATGGTCTATTGTCTATTGTTATCAACATGTATTCGGAAACGCACATACTCAGGTTTTTGAATAAAATTAAGTGGAACTGGAATGTAGACAATTGGCAACA